TTCATTCAAATGAGTAGCCAAAAGACAGCAATCAAAACCGACGCACGAAAGTGCATGATTAATGGTTGTACAAACTGAAACTGATCTAAAGAACAGTTTGAAGTATTCGTTCTATGGTTCTAACAAGCACTTTGGTCCAAGTTATGTTTTCATCGCACATGCATTCCTCAAACCGTTGGATATCGTACGGACCAAGCAGCAACTATTTTTCTCCGAAAGCTTTATCTTGGTTCTGAATCGTCTCATTTATCTGTTTTGTTTTATTCGCCTGAAATATTGTGCTAAAGTGGACCTGGGTCTGTCGTATCGATTCGCTCTCTCATTCGAGCCACATTTCGCTTCACAAAACGCATCTATTCGATAGCAGTAAGTCCTCTATGCACTGTGATTGGCACTGCCTTACGCGGATTCATTTGACATTTCAGCGCCCACTTCAACGTTGAAACACTAATACCGTGATCGCACATGACTAGTGTTAACATGTGGGTCAAGTTGGTTTGTCAGACGAAGACTCTCCATATTGAGCAGCTGGTAAGTGAAAGTTACGACGATGAGTCGTGAATGCATCACATACTAAAGACCGACTGAAATGAACAGAGTCTAAAGATGTGCGCTAATTTTTCCCAGTGAGAGTGGTGATTTATTCGACATGGGACGTTGTGTGTATCTACGTGGTGCCTGGGACATGTTGCGCAACTAAAGAGCTGTTTATACTTGGTTGTTTTGAGCAGGTAACAGAGGATTAAGGTGACGGTGAAAAAATCGATTGAATTCGGGACCAAACCACCACCACCGACCATTTTACATTTCGTACACACACTAAATTTAAAAAGATCCATGGAATCCAACAATTAACCTGTAAGTTGTCTACGAAGAGACTGCAACTTGACGTGGTGGGATGCGTTTCTACCTCTATGACCCAACGAGCTACACTGGATGGTTCTTTTAAGCCACGAGGTCTTATCCTGCCTGGAAGGTCAGAGGGTAGAGATCAGACTAAGTTCAGTCCTCTGGTCCTCCAGGTTGGGGGTTCGACTCGAGTTACCGTCTCAATCGGTAAAATGTTAGAAGATTAACCGATTCACGTAAATGGGACTCTATTTCGCTTTAGCTGCTGACTTGCGGTCAGGTATATGTCATGTCGGATGGCCCCGCACACCCGGCAGAAGATAAACCATTGTGTCGGCGACTAACGGGGCTACGAGCGAACCACTTTGTGTCCTGCAGTCCTCCATTATACCTTTCCTTCGGCGTACATGCTACAAGAGCAACACTACTCTATGCATCGCAGACGAAGACCCTCCCTCATGACCATGGGCTCAGTAATTGTTCTTTATCTGTTAACTATTGGACATCATTTACCCGAACACACTTGTGTCGCTAAGTTGCTCACATTAGCTGCAACAAACTGGTTTCTCATTGGACCTTTGTCTCCTTCATGTTCACTCGCATTCACCTACACACACATCGTGTATATTTGACTTTTCGAAGGCTTGCTGCTCCTCACTAAACATCTAGGGGGGGGGGCTGTGTAGTAACATTATTTTCACTTCTCAACCCCATTCCCCCCATTCATGTAAAGGCCCTATTTTGTTTTACTGCCCTCTGTTACGATACCGCATACGACCTCGAATATGGCACAATTTCTGGTGAGTTGTATCGTGTGCTTGGCTCTCTGTACACCTTTCCGCTGCAAATCACTTTACACTGCCAACACTCGTACTCGACTTTGTTGTCAATGCGGTCTCTCCTTGGGAAACCTCGTGATACGCCCGATCGATAGAATTAGGGAACAGGTCGTTGCTCAGCCCGTCCCAGGTGCCAAATTGGTGAGCCTGATTTTGTTTAACCCGCTTTCTTTCAGCACGCAACGGGCTGAACGTTTTCAGTGAGTCCGGGGCTGATGCTGTTTATTTTCATTTTTTTTAACGGCTTAACTATGTTTCTTAAATTTTGCTTACAAAATCCTACATACTCGCATATTTGCACTTCTTACATTATTAGATATTTATTTTACTCATTCGTTTATGCTACACCAGTACCCTGAGGTCCACTGTTGTTTAGGCATCTTTCTCTCAATTTAATTATTCATTTTTTCACGGAAGATTCCCATATGAATATCAAAAGCAAAACAGTATGGCGAACAAGCTTGTTTTCGTAACTTCATCTTTTTTCCCTTGGGTTCACACCTGAGTTACTATGTTTAGTCAATTTTCCGAGAGTAAAAAGAACGGCGCTATCGCTGCGGCAAACAAAACGACCGTATTGGGCCTGCAAGCTCGTATACCCGAATTTATAACTGAGCACCCAGAGTTTTGGCTGGCCCATGTTGAGGTCCAGTTTAAGTTAGCTAGAGTGACCAATCAGTTAGCTAAGATTACTCAGTTAGTAGGTTACGTTCCAAGGTCTATGGCCCCCGGACTGCGCGACCTATCACCAGACCGACTGTATGATTCCCTCCGCGATGCGATTCTGGGCAGATTCGGTATGCCCGTGGAATATCACCTCAAATAACTTCTAGGCGGCCTGCGTCTAGGCGACAACGGCTTCGATGCACCCACGAAACTACTGAGTTATATGCAGGGTCAAGCCGCCATTCTGAACGTCGACGAAAATATACTCCGTTTGTCTTGGATGCAAGCTCTACCAAAGAGCTTGTCTTCCATGCTGCAGTATTCTGGCCTACGGTATACGCTGACTGAACTCGCAGAGATGGCCGACAGGGTATACGCCGACCAATGGTCAGTTCAATCCATCACACAGCCCGCGCAACCACCGCCCTCCGCCGACAACTCCGAACTAGTAGCCCGTGTTAAAGCGTTAGTAGCACAGGTTCAAGCGTTGAAGCTATCTGGTGACCGCCAACAATATGGCCGTCGATCACGCTCCAGCCGCAGAAGCCGTAGCCCTAGGCCCCCACGATCAAGCTCACTGTCGAATGGGGTTTGCTGGTATCACCGTCGTTACGATGATGCGGCAAAGAGGTGGCTTACACTGTACACTTACACCCCCAAATCGGGAAACCGATAAGCCGACCGGCCCAGGCGACGACCGTGTCCGGCTCGCCACAACCAAGATCGATAGAATTAGTGAACGCGTCGTTGCTCAATCCGTCTCAGGTGCTAAACGTCCCAATTTTTAAGAAGGGACAAATATCCGCGGATAACAAGCAGAATTTCAACCAGGCCGCAGTTGTGTCGATCAAATCTTCACCCTGCGTCAAGTCCCTACGCCATACACACCACCGACCAACGGTCGTCGTGTTCTTCGACCTAGAAGAAGCCTTCAACTCAATTGACCGCTTTTTCGTATGTGAGCATACTGAGGTCACTCTATTCGCATAAATTCTGATAGCGTAATGGTTTATGGTGAGCTGAGTATTTCGTTCGAACCCAGCAGCGGAGTTCATCAAGGGTATCCTAGTTCGCCATTCCTGTTCAATTTCGTCATAGACGAAATACTGAAAAATGCACTCGGTAGTCTCCAGTATGTAGGTATTGAATGGCCGATGGAGAAAAGCTGTGCGATTTGGAGTATGCTGAAGACATCATTTGCTTGTTCGAATGTATGCAAAATGCACAAAGAGCACTTGACAGATTAGCAAGTTCTATCGCTCCGTTCGGGATGTGCTTTGCACCTTCAAAGTGCAAAGTGATGCTGCGAAACTGGGTGTCACCGAGTTCCGTTCTGAAACTAGACGGTTAGGAATTAGCCGAAGCTGACTGCCTCTCGTCCTTAGATAGCTGCGTAACCAACGGCGGTAGCGCATCACAGGAGATAACCGCCCGCGTTTCCAAGGCTCGAGCAGCGTGCACAGGACTGAAGCACCTGTGGTGGCGACGTGATGTTTCACTGAAGTTGAAAAGTCGCATGTACTGCGCCACTGTACGATCAGTTCTGTTTCACGTTTGTGACCTTGAATTTACGGGTAGAAAACATGCGCTGCCTAATCGTTTTCGACAATCGTTGCTTACGTAATCTGGCCCCATTGGGATGGAGTGAGTGGGTTAGTAACTGAGACGTCGCCGGGTATTTGGGAATGCACCGTACACGAACTCCCTGAGTCATCGAATTCAGTTCAATAGGCTCCGTTGGTTAGGACGCGTTTTGCGGACTAAAGAAAGCCACGTGGAGGTCAACAGATAATGTCGAGATAAGACATGAGGGAATGCATAAAGCGATTAGGTAGAGTAGGTGTCTCTCGTCTTCCGATCGGGGTCCAAAAGACCCCATAACCGCATAGTTGGAAACACTGAAGGTCATGGCAGTAAATCGACAGCAGTAGTTGTCTTGCTATCACCTTTTATCAGTCCAGATTGCTTGAACTAGTATGTATGCACAGTTTAACTGTGGTCCTTGTTGGTTGACCATAGAGGTTTGCTGTTTTTTCTCGTCCCAAAAGTAGGGCCAACCCCCATTATCCTCACACATTCTCGATTACCTTGTATGTATTATGAATTTGGCAGCGATCAGGGAAGCGTGCTTCGCTGCGCAATGATAATGATGATAATGATAACGATGAAGTTGTCTACCCAAAAAAGCCCAACCGGTAGAGCGGGGCACTTCACGAATGCGTAAACGGTGTCCATGTGTGGGTTTGCCTTCCAACGAGGATAGTGTACTTTTCAAAACTCAGGTATGCATGTTTGATAATAACCGAGGTTTCTTTTTAGTCGCTCCACACTCATGCCAAAATCTGGCTTATTTCAGGGATTTCCGCTAGCCCGGAACATCTACTGCCCCGTTTTCCTACCCATGTTCAACAGAATCTTATCAGTCTCGTTAAAACGGTTCGAAATAAACTGCAATAAAATTGCTCAATTTATCAGTTCAAATATTTGTGATCAACCACGACCAGACCGATTAGGAGTTTTGACAACTGTGAGACTGATGATTTTGTCCGATCAATATACTCTTCCTATTTTCTCGGCTTGTTTCGAGTTTCCATGGGTTACGAATACAAAAACCATAGAAAACTATCGTTTTTATGACCTACTCACCACAGTAGATCTCTATGTCCGATGCCATCCCGTTTGAACGTCCGTTAATCGGAGCAAGCGCATAATTCGACCCTTCGTCCATACGACCGCTCATGATGGAAATACCGTCTACCGAACGTAGGTCAATATCGGAAGTGATCGGATTTGCCCGAGACATATTCATTGTTGTTGTCGAATCGGTTGAGACCGAGGCTCCAGAGTTTCCCATCACAAGGAGCATAGAATCGTTGGTTGCCGTATTGGTTGACTGCGTACCCTCACTGGCAGATGTCATTCCAGCTGAACCGTACAGCAGTTGATTGTCCGCTTGAAAAATCTGACTGCTGGTTATGGCCACCGAGACTGCTGTTGCATTTGCTTCGGTCGAAATGTTTGCGCTTGTTGTTGTGGTTGTATTTCCATTTGCTGTTGGTGTAGCAGTTGTCGTAACCCCCGATTTGTACGAATCAGTCAGTGTGTGACTCGTATCATACTGCAGCGGATCGTTTTTATCCATCTTTGTGAGAGTGGAACCCAGTTCACCGGCATATCGATGTGCATCAGAAAGTAAGAGATCCGAACTACTGGTCGTCATTGGTTGTGTTTGTGTTGGCTGTTGCGATGTGGTTGGTAAGAGTGGCAAAGACTGGGATTGTTGTGCTTGTTGTCCCGAGGTAGCCAATCCTGCCAAGGATTGGGTCATATTGTTGTTATTTGTTCCGGATAGTTCGCTAGGGTCCATATTCTCCTTGAACGCCTTGGGGGAGCAGTGAAGATAAATATAGACTGCATAGCAGTTATGTATTAATATATTACATTTGACGTCTCTGAATCCTGCTTGTGTGTCGAGAAAATCAGAGTAAAATATAATCTTTATGACAAAGGAAAATGATCACGAATTGTCAGTGAGCAGGATACTCCCATAGGATGAATTTTGAGAGAATTCACAACCGGGGCTCTTGGTTAACCGAATCTCAACTCGCAAGGTAGCGGTGGAGCGTTAAAAACCGCATTTAAATCAAGTTGATAAATTTGTGATCATCCTTCACCTTCGCAGATCTAACTGGTGATTTGTTGAACAGGTAGATGGTCCATGTTTCGAATTGTTTTCTAGGGAAGAAACGCCTTCCGTTATTCCGGGTTTGGAGTAAGTTATGAAAGAGTTGTGTTAAATGAAACCAGCAATTTAAAATATACGTGATAAAAACTGATATGTGTGAACAGTTCAATATGAAACATATCGAAACTGTTAGATCAGTATGATTACCTACGCCAAAGTTGAATCAGGCGCAACCTCCTAAACTAAAACCCCATTCTCTTGTGCCGTCACTAGGTTCTTGTGAAGCGAGCAAAGGTGAAACACTAAGCTCACAAACCTGTCGTGGGTGAATAGATTAAGCGATCATATCACTGATATATCGGTAGAAGTAGCTTTACTGGTCACTATTAACATTTTGCAGGCCAGAGGTGATTTTATTATTCACTCACTCCGAAAGCCTCAGTGTTGTCGGAGATCGATGACTTGGGTGGTGCCTATTCACAATTCCCTTGAAAGCTCCTGCACGATCAAGTGTCCAATGGCCTCTGCTAGGGAAATGCTTCTTCGCCTTTGCACGGCGTTGATTGCCGTGAGAGGATGAAAAACCAAAATTCGAGTGTATAACCGGGACGGTGAACCACCGACAGTTCACCTAAGGGACTCATTCGATTACAGTTTAAGACCGTGTGTATCAAACTTCCCTTTCCGACCAAGCTATTACCCTAACCAGCCGTCCAGTAGTTACGTAGGTCCCAGGCTCGATCCTCAATTGAGTAGATGGACTCATACTGCTGATGAGACCCATCCACGCCGAAACAGCTGTACAGTGCCCCCAGCTGTTCAGCTGACGCTCTGTACAGGATGAAATTCACTATAGAATCATAAACAAATCTCCACTATTCCCAGTTGAAAACAAATGAACCACGTCAATTCAGAGCCAACAGTGAAAACGACGGAAATCACCACTACATCAAACGAACAAGCGAG